CTGGGTCCTCTCCACCCTGCCGACAGGCGCAGGGGCCCAAGGGTTGACTAGGCAGGGTCCCAGGCTTCAGGCTCTCCGTCAGGTCGCCCCTGGAAGGATGGACCCAGACCGTGGGGCTGCAGCAGGGCCCCGGAGCTGAACTCGGGTGAGGCCGCAGGGCAGGCCAACGTGGTCCCTTGAGGTAGCCCGAGCCCAAGGGCATAACCCTTCCCGTGTCTGGCCGCTGGCACGGCCAGAGGGCAAGGGCATGGCCGCAGCCTGTCCTTCCTGGGCACCCCTCCGATGACCTGAGTGGAGGGACCTTGGGGGGTCATCTGTCATTCCCCGCAGAGGACGTGGGACTGTGTGACCTTGCTGGGATGGTCCTCATCAGGGCCTGCCTGGGACATCATTCCTGGATGTGTGAGGAGGCCTGTGGCCTTGGGGAGGGGCAGAAGGCAAGACAAGCCCTCCCCCTGGCCCTGCTGTGGGGCTGGGTTGGCCTGTCATCAGTTCCCAGGTGTGAGCGTGGACCGCAGCTTGGGTTTGTCCCTACTCCGTGGGCAGAAGCCACCCTGGGAGCTTCCGACCCAGGGTTGTGCCTGTGTGCCCCCTGCGGGAAGAATGGGGGCTGCCCACCTTGCACAGGGAGGGGCTGCCCTGCCTGCATGGCCCCCGGCCTGGAATCATGCCGAATGCACAGGGTCTCTGGGCCCGGCAGGTTCCCCCAGAGGACCACGCCAGGGACGGATGCTCTCATCTCCAGAATCCTGGCTCACACAGGACTCAGGCCACAGGGCGGGGCATGTCCAGGGCAAGCCTCGGGGACCCCAGGGGCTGACCGGTCACCACTGACCACATCGCACAGCTCTAGGGTGCAGGCGGGTGGCTGCCAGCGCCGGGCCGCCAGCGCTGGGCCCCCAGCACCGCCCGAAGACTCGGCATCCCTTCGGGGTCCCCCGCCGGCCCCGCCCCGGGCTTCCCCCAGCGCGCGGCGGTTCGCTGGGCGCCCGGAGGCGGTCTGTGGGCAACGAGGCCGGGCAGGACCAGACCAGACCAGTCACGGGGATTGGAATCCTTTATTGACCCCTGAGACGGGCTGTGTCCTCCTCCTCCTCTCCGGGGGCAGCGCCAGGCCGGGCGCGGGGCGGCGGGCGGCCTAAGACTCGGTCTCGAACATCTTCTTCCGGCCCTCCATGCCCGACTTCTCCTCGATGTTCTTCCGCCAGTCGCCCACGTCGCGCAGGTCCCGCTCCTGGGGAGGGGTGGCGGGAGCTGAGGGGGCGGCGGCAGAGCCCGCAGAGCCCGCAGCCCCGTCTGCCCCCGGAGGCGGGCGCTGGGCAGCCCTGCGGGGCGGAGGGCCTGCGCGTACCTTCTCCGTGTCCTCCTTCTTGACCTGCTTCAGGTTGGCCCGGAGGTCCATGCACACCTTGTGCTTGGAGCCCAGCAGCGCCTTGAGCATGGCGTCGGCCGACATGCGCACCCTCCTCAGCGGAGGCCTCTTGAACTTGCCTCTCAGGTCGAACAGCTTCTGGTTCATGTCCTCCAGCTGCGAGGCGCGGGGAGGGCAGAGTGGGAGCCAGCGGTGGCCAGGACCCCCCGCCCCGCTGGCTGGAGCGCCCCTCGCCCCGCGCCCGGCCCCGCCCCCGCCCCGCCCCCGCCCCTCGCCCCGCCCCGCCCCTTGCCCACTCACCTCCTTGGTGCTCTTCTGGACCCTCACTTCCATGTCATACTTCTCCTCCTCCGCAGCGTCGATCTTGGCGTGCAGCTGTTTGCAGAGCTCCTGGGGGAGGGGGCGGCCAGTGGGAGGGGGGCAGTGGTTCACCTGCCCTCACCTGCCCTGGCCACCTTCCGCACTGACCGGGAAACCGAGGCAGCAGGCTGGAGTGCTGCTGGGGTGGGGTACCTGCACTTCGGACATGGAGCTGGGGAGGTGCAGGGGGGGGCAGTGCTCGGACAGGTAGTTCTGCTTCTCCGACTCCCGGCGACCCTCCTCCTTCTCCAGCTCCGTGGCGGCGATCTGGAGCATGACACTCTGCGGGGAGGGGGGGTGCGGGGGGGCAAACCAGTGAGGGACTGTGGGGGCCCAGCCCCGCACACACGCCAGGATGGCCCTCTCGGGGGACAGCACCTACCTTCAGGTGCTGTCTCCGGGCCGTGATGGCCCTGTTGCGTTTCTGTAGGGTGGGAGGGATGAAGCAGAGTCAGGGCCCGTCTGGGTCCCCAGCACCCCCACATCCCTCTGCACTTGTCCCCCGGGGCCAGTGGGCCCCGTCTGGGAGGCAGCTGGATCTGGGGCTCCTGAGGCCTGCTAGGGGGCCCCGGGCCCAGAACACCTGTGCCCACGTGGCAGGTGAGGTCCGAAGGCTCATGGTGGGGGGTGGAGAAGGGCGGTGCCTCAGGGGCAGCGGGAGGGGCAGAGGAACCCAGCAGGGCATAGGAGGAGGGGGGGGCAGTGGGAAAGGAGAAGCGATTCTGGAAACCAGCCACAGCCTCACTTCCCCTCCCCCATGAGGCGCTGAGGCCACTTCCTCTGTCTCTGCGTGGCTGGGTGGCTGGGTGGGGCGCTTTCAGGGGGTGGGCTGTTCAGCTGCCCTTGAGCTTTGGCCTCTGACCTGCCCCAAGTAGGGGGTCCCATCCCCTCTGTGTTTCATGCCCTCCCCCGTCACCCCAAGCAGGTACTCACCTCCTCACTGTCCCAGGGAGGGGGCGGGAGGGTGGGGGGAAGAGAAGAGAGAAGTTAGGGACATGGATGGGGCCGTGGGATGGGGTTGCTGATGGTGAAGGCGGCCAGTGGGGGCTGGGGGAGCTGCAGAGACCCCCCAGGTCGGGGAGGGCAGCAGGGGCCCTGGGTTTGGGGCTGACTTACTCCCCCATCCTGATGTCCTGTGCTTAGAGCCTGTGGGAGAGAAAAGGTCTGGGCATGAGGGCCACAGTCCCCATCCCTCTGTGGACACCCGCTGCCCACGTGGGGGGCCAGCCCTCACACCAACCCTGCCCCCTGTCGCCCTGCCCCCAGCTCTGGCCTCCTTGGAGGCTCTGTCTTGGGATTCCCAGGGTGAGAAGAGGAGAAAGTGTTCCCGAAATGTCCTGGGCGGGGCCTGGGCTGCTGCAGCTGTCCCTGGGCTGGTGGGGGGGACAGGCCCTCGCAGGTGGCCACCAGAGCCACCCAGCTATTTTTAGTTCTGTTCCTTCGGCTTTGGGCCTAAGTGCATGCAAGAAACTGCTCCAGCCTGGGGCTGGGGTCCCTCGACCCGTCAGATCCCCTCCTCATGTCCCGCCCAGAAGTGAGGGCCCGTGATCAGGGGGCTGTCCGTGACCGCTGCACCCCCCGCCGCCTCCGGATGCATCTCTGCCTGGCTCCCAGCTCCGTGGAGCCCCCCCAGAGAGGCTGCTGGAGGCGGACCCCAAACCCCAGGACCCCCACCCTGGGATGTCATCCTGCAAGCCAGCTCCGGAAGCGCGTGTCCTCGGCCTAAGCTGGCCGGGCCGGCCTCACCTAGCGTCTGGGCAGCAGCACTGGGAGCGAGGTCAGGCCAGCAGCGGCAAGCTGGGCTGGTGGGCCCGGGGGAGGGGTATAAATGACCTCCCCCAGGCTGGGCCCCTGCTCAGAAAGGGCATGGAGCCCTCCTCAGACCAATGGGGGCACAGGGGCCTCCCCACCTGCCCAGGCCGCCTGGCCCGGCCCAGCCGCGTGCTGTCGTCCAGTCCAAGAAGTCTTGGTGGGGGGGGTGCCGAGGTTGGGTTGCTCTATTTAGAGCTCGGTGACAAGTTCGAGAAGCCTCCCTTGTTCTTACAAGGAACTGCTGGTCAGCTGTCTGTGGCCTGGCTGGGCCACCACAGGCCACGGGCTCAGGGGCAGCTGAGGGATCACTCAGGTCCTAAGCCAGGGCGCGCGCCTCGGTTTCCCCTCCGCTTCCCCTGGGGGGCAGGCTTCCTGGGCCCGGAGCAGCTCCCCTGCAGCTCCCACGGGGCTTTGAGCTGGGCCAGGGATCCCCGGCATGAGCTGGCCACGTCCCTTCCTTCCTCCAAGCTGGCTGCAGCTTGGGGGCAAGGCCTGGACCCCCAAATGGGGCCCACAGCCATGACCAGGGCCCTCTGGGTGGGGGCTGCCCTCCCCCGGCTGCGATCCTGTCCCCCCAGCCAGGAACAGGAGGGAGGGAGGGTGCTGGACGTGCAGCCGTCCGGAACGCCCTGCCCTGGGGTGGTTCCTGGCTCACTCGGAACCCGTCCTTCAACCCGTGGATGGCGGCACCACCCGCCTGGGAACCTCTCCCTGACCCAAGGGGCCTGGGGCCCGCCTGGCTGCCTGGGCAGGCCCGTACTGCTGCCCTTCTCACCCCGGCCGGGCCTGCACCCCCCACCCGGGCCCCCCACCCAGCAGAGACATCCGGAGGACCATGACTTGGAATCCTCTGAGCTGGGGGCGCGTGGCCCCAGCCCCGCCGGCCTCATGGGCCGTGGGGAGGGTCAGGGGGAGCTAAAGCCGTCCAGATGTGTGGGGATTAGAGCTGCATTCCTGGCCAGGGCTGAGCCCCCAAGGCCCGAAGCGGCTTCTGAAGACATCTACCGCCCCCTGCCGTCTGGATGGGGAGGCCCGTGGCAGCCAACGTTGGAGAGTGGTGGGGGGGGGCCTGCAGGCGGCTAAAGCGGCCCCTTGGATTGGGGTCCTTTCCCTGGGCCGTGACCACCCCCCAAATGCCTCCTGATTTCCCCTTGTGTCCCCATGGGGCCGGCTGCAACCTCCCTCCCAGACCCTGCGGCCCCACGGCCAGGGAGGGCTGCCGGCCTCTTTGTACCATCCCTGCCAGCCCCAGAGGGGACCCCTTCACCCCACTGGGGGGTCAGACACAGGTCAGAGGCTCAGGGCCCCAGGACCCTGGAAGGAGTCCTCTCCAGCAGCAGTGCTGGAGGAGCCCCTGGCCCCACGGTGTCTGTGGGCTCAGGAAGGACACTCGGCCACAGCAAGAACAGGGGTTTATTATGGCATCCCCCGGGGAAGCCAGGACAGCACCCCCACCTCAGTCCCGGGAGCCGGGCAAGGTCAGATGCAGGCGGGGCTTTAGGCCCAGAGCACGGTCCACCTCCCTGGCCGGACGCAGGGGGTGCCACCGGGCGACGGGCCGCCGGGCGTGGGCCAGCATGTCTGCCCAGTGCTGCAGGGGCTGACCAGAGGCCCGGGCACCGAGCAGCACCTTGCCCACCGGCTCAGCCCGAAACTGTGGGCCCCGGGCCCAGACAGCCAGCACCAGGTCCACGCTCTGGGCGGAGGCCCGCAGAGGTGCATGGGGGAAGAGAAAGACAGCGGTCGGTTTGGCCCCAAGGGGGGGGTCCCCACCCACCCCTTCCTCCAGGCAGCCCACCTGGATCTGGCTGAAGGGCACAAGGAAGGTGAAGGCCTCGTTGAAGTAGGGGGAGGCTGTGCCCTTGCGAGCCGACGTCTTTCTCTTCCGCCACTTTCGCTGAGCTGGACCTTCACGTAGGGGTCTGGGCAGGAAAGGGATCCGAGGTGTCCCAGGTCTGAGGGCCGAGCCCGGGGCCCCCTCTCTACTCAGAAGGGCACGCATGGCTCTCACCTGCCAGGCCCGGGCTCAGACCTCGCGCCTCCAGCACGACTACGGTCATCCGGCCAGAGCTGGGGACGTAGCGGAGCGAGAGACACAGCTCTCCCAACTCGGGCTACGGGCGGTGAGGAGGGGGCCTCAGTCTCACCGCGGCAACCAGGGCAGGGACAGGCTGGAGCCCCGCAGCTCGTGGCCTCACCTCCGTGGCGCCCGGCGGGCCCAGCTGGTGCCACTGCTCCAGGACGTGCTGCAGGTCGACGGCGCCCAGCGGCAGGCTGAGCTCCCCCAGCGGCTCGGGGGCAGAGAAGCGCTTGGAGCCCAGCACCTGCACCCGCAGTGTGGCCCCAGCCAGCTCTTCCTGCGGTATCTGTGGGCACGGGTGTGAGCCGGGCACCCCCTCCCCGGGCCCCCCCCCCCCCCCCGCCCGCCCAGCCCCGACGCACGTGGAAGCAGCAGGTCTCCTGAAACACGGGGCAGAGCGTGCTGCGGTGCACCCTTGTCTCGTGGCTGTGCCCTTCCTGGGTGGAGAGGCTGACGCGGGCGAAGGGGTCTGCCGTGCCGCCCGGCCCATAGGCCCTCAGGTCCGCGGCCTGCTTGAGGCCCACCTTGATCTGGGAGTCAAGGGGACTCAGACTGGGGCCCTCCCTGGTCAGCCCCGCACCCAGCGCCAGCCTGACACCCAAGCCCTCCCTGAACCTGCAGACCCTCTGGGCCTGCCCGGGGCTGCACACCTCCTGCCTTGAGAAGTCATACTCCAGGGAGAGCTGCAGGCGCCCCCAGTGCTGGGCGTCCTCCGGGGCAGTCTCTGAGGTAGCCACATCCGGTTGCACCTGGGGAAGGTAGGGAGAGGCGACAAGTGCTGCTGAGATGCCCAGGCCAGGCCACGCAAGGGCTCGTACCCTCAGTGCATTTCTGTGAGATGGGGCTTAATGGACTGATCTCCAGACCCACCTCGAGCACCACTGCCTTCCCCCAGACCTTCCCGTGGCTCCCCATGGCCCGGGATCAACCTCTGGGGCTGGCGTTCAGGGCCTCCAGGCCTTAGTCCCACCTGCCTTCCTAACACCGTGACTCGTCACTTCTCCTACTGGTGGCGGGGGGTGGGGGGGGCCCTCCCTGTCTCTGCTCCTGGGGAGAGCAGACCATCGCTGGGGCCTGAGCCTGCCCTAAGGCTGGGCCTTGAGCTGCTCTCGGGGATGACCCAGCCCGGAGCTGGGCGCCAGGCATGCTGGTGTCCTCACCAGGTAGGTGCTGGTGGTCCCTTGAGGACTGCCCAGGCTCACAGCCTCCCTGTCCCTGGGCTTCTTCCTGTGGCCACGGCGGCAGCAGCAGACAACACAGAGGAGGCAGGAGACCATGAGGACGCCGGCAGCCACAGCGATGGCAATGATTGCCCAGCGGGGCCCTGGGCAGGGGGCGCGGAAATGGAGCTGAGACACCTCCCTGGACAGCACCTGCCCCCCGCTGGGCCCACCGTCCCCACGAGCCTCTGGGGGATCCCACAACTCACAAGGGAGCCTGGCGATGAGGTCCGGAATGAGCCCGGGTATAGCCATGGTGCCGGCCGGGGCCGGGGAGCTGTGGGGGCCCAGGGGGTGCCCCATCTTCCCTCCCTGCTGGCTGGGAGCAGACAGCAGGGGTGGCTGGCTCACCTCTGGGGCTGGCCTCTCAGCCCCCGGCCCACTGCCCCACTGCCCAGCAGCAGCGGGCCCGGGGTCTGCCTGGGCAAGGAGGCAGCCTGGGGTAGCCAGGGGCAAGGGCTCCGAGTGGAGCCAAGGGGAGGGAGGTGCTGGGCTCTGGCCAAAGTGCCAGCTTGGCTGCCACAGGCCCAGCCTCCTGGCCACCTCCCCAGCCCCCAACCCCCAGCCCCAGCCAAGCAGGCCAGGTGTCCTCATTACAGAGCCCCCTCCTCCAGGAAAGCCCATTCTTTCTGGGGCTCCCTCCCTTGGGCTCTGGGCCCTTTTGTCAGGGTCCCGACTCATCCCTGGCCTGACCTCAGGCCCACTCTGGTTTGTCGGTCACACAGATGGACCGCCCCAGCTAGGAGTGCTCAGGGAGCAAGGAGATGGGGGCTCTGGGGGACCAGGGCTCTGCTGGGGTCACGGGGGCACATAGGGGGAGGAGCGGGGGTCGGCTGCGGGGGAGCTTGTCCGAGCAAGCCTGGGCTGGAGATGCGTTCCCGGCACGGGCTCCGTGCCAGCAGCGCCTGGGGAGCAGGGAGAAGTGGGGGCAGGCAGGGACAGGGTGAAGCTGGGAGCGGCCAGAACATTCCTTGCAAACTGACTCAGCAGCCACTGCCCAGACCTGCCACCTGCTGCCCTTCTTGCCGGTGGGAGGGAGGGGGGCGCGGCGCAGCCTACCTGCCGGGGGCCGGGGCAGGAGCACACCTGGCCAGCCGGGGCTGGCTGCTCCCACCCACACCAGGGACCGGGGACGCAGAGTTGGGGGTGCTGGAGGCCACGACGGTGCCCGCTGGGACCCCAGACCCACGGGCACCTCCCCGGCTTAGCTCCTCCTGGGCTACCCCAGCAGCCAAGGTTGGAGCCTGCCACCCCCCAACCCAGGGACCTGGACATGGCCGTGACACCCATGCACACGGCACCAACGCCCCCTCCCCAGCAGGTCGGGCGGAGGCCACCCTACTCCCAGCACCAACCTGAGCCTTCAGAGTTCAGTGGAGGGAGTTTTGGCTCTGAGAGTGCCCAGGCCCCAGGTGTCCCCCGTCCCAGGCCTGGCCGTGTCACCCTGGAGGGGCTGTGTATGTGTTGTCCCCATGGGGTCTTGTACAAATAGGAAGGAGGCAGCTGGGAGAGGAGCAGACGGCCAGGGAGCCGCAGCCCCGAGAAGGGATGAGGAGGCGGACCCCGCACACGGCAGGAAACAGTGCTCAGAGAGAGGGGCTTGGGCCTGGTTTAAAGCCGCTGTGGCTGTCTTGAAATTCTAACCATTTCGAACAAAAGGCTGCATGTTTTCTGCGTGGGCCCCGCAAGTGACGGGGCTGATTCTGGTTCCCTTTAGGGGAGCCTCTGCTGTTGGGTGCGGGTGCTCAGGGCGGCCCATAGGCCTCCCCTGGCCTCTGTCCTCAGAAGGACGCCACAGGGGGCTCCACTTCCCAGGGTGGTGCTGGAGGGCCCCGGGGTCGGCGGGCGGCCTGTGGGCTCGCGGGGGTCCCGCGGGGTCCTCGGAGCAGGACGCCGGAGGCCCAACCCAGAGCCCCCAGCTCCCCCATGGAACCGAGAATCAGCCGAGACTTTCTGGAATGCCAGAGCCCACGTGTCTTCTGGAATTAAAGTCGCTTCATGGGAGACGTTCATGGTTGAGAATTCCAGGAGCCACGTCAGCACAGACTGTGTGTGTGTGTGTGTGTGTGAGGGAGTGTGAGAGAGAGTGTGGACAGGTCAGCGGGTGTGCCCGCGTGTGCCTCTGCCTGCGCCCGTGGCAGGGCGGCGTGGGCATGGACTCCAGGGGCCTGGCAGGGTTCCCCGGCCACCCCAGGAAAGATGGACCCCTGGACCACAGGCCATGTCTGGAGCTGGCCCCAAGGGTCCCAGGACGCCAGGGGGTGCCGGTCACAGGAGCTGTGGGACCCTCAGGCCCGGGGGAGGGCACAGGGTCCCTCAGGACCTCCAGGTCCTCACGGTGGTGAAGGTTCAGGCAGACGCGCAGCCACCAGGTGGCGCCGCCGGCTCCGTGGGACCCAGCCCGGGACTCGGGGAAGCGGGGCGCCCGGGGCGGGGGGGGGGGGGGGGGGGAAGCCGCAGCGACTGCAGGGCCTGCCTGGCTGAGGGCTCTCCTGCATCAGTGCCTGGGGCCGCCTTCCCGCCCCAGCTCCCCGGGTCCCCCTCTGCTCCCGCGCCGGTGGCCCCGCAGGGAAGTCCCTCTCTCCTGCCGGGAAAGGGAGCTGCGGGGTCCTTCCTGAATAGAATCCCGGCCCCAGACGCGGGACGGGGACGCTCCCTCCTGCACGTGCAGACACAACCCCGTGGCTCCGTGGGGACCGCACAGCCTCCTGAACGCCTCCCTGCCTGGTCCGGGCTCTGCTCCCACGGCCCTTCCATCCCATCCCCGGCCCACTCACCCTTCAAGGCCTGCGTGAGCCCCACCTCCTCCAGGAAGCCCTCCGGGTCACTCCCCGCCCTCCGACCTGACCTGCCTGGGGGTTTGTGCTGGACCTAGCCTGCCTCATCCACTCAGGAGCCCTGGCTCTCCCGGGCAGAGGGGCTCCATGGCGGCCTGGAGCCTGGCACCCTTGAAAGCCAAGCCAGCCACCCCCTCCACCTTCAGTCTGACTGGAATTATCTATCCTGTGGGCCCTCCTCCTGCGGAAAAGGAAGGCCCCCTGAGGTGCCGGGTGGGGGGCGACCCCCAGATGTGTCTCATTCTCACCTGCTTCCTGCACTTCCTGTGGCTGGCCTGGCCTCCAGCCTTTCTCTCTACCCCGGGGACGTGAAGACCTCGCTGGGTGCCGTGGCCAGGCCTCAGGAAAAGAGACCTTCGTCTTGGTGGGGGAGGGGGTGAGAGGCCGGGCTTCGGGGAGCCCCACCTCAGGGCCGGAACTGCTGGCCCTCAGGAACTGGGGAACTCCCTTGGGAGGAGGGTCCTCCCCGAGACCTGGGCGCCAGGCCACCCACAGGGGTCCCTCCGGGGACGCTGGGCTCTCTTCCTCCCAGAGGCCCTGCGGGAGGGGGTGACAGCCTGTTTGGGCTGAACGTGAGGAGGGGCGGCTGCAGGGAGGTCAGGCTGGACCTGGCCTGGGAAGGTTCTACACTCCGAGGGTGCCCTGAGTCATGAGGACTCTGGGTTTGGAGGAGCACGGCTTTCTGGAGAAGCCAGGCACCGGGAGCGCACGGTGTGGCCAGGACCGCACAGCCTGAGCCTGCCTGGTCCCACCAGCGCCCGGGCTTCCAGACCTTCTGGAGGTCGCTGTACCCCCGCATCGGGCCTGCCCCATCCCCAGAGGTCTTGGCTCCCGTCGGGCCAGCGGGCCAAAAGTCCTGGCCTGCCTCCCCCCGTGCCCCTTGCTCCAGCAGAGCCAGCGGGGCCGTGAGCTCAGCTCCCGCATGGCTCTGGTCAGCTCAGCTGGTCTGGTCACCCTGGCTCCAGTCCCTGCCTGGGCGCAGCCCCAAGTGGCCCTCCCAGGCCAGGGTGTCTCTCTGAACCTGTTCCTGCCGCGGGGGGCACGGAGCTGGTTAATGCTTAACAGGATAGCCAGTGGCACTGGGCGGCCGGGCTGGTCGGGCAAGGCTTCCGGGAGACTGCTGCAGGGACACAGCCACAGGGAGGCGGGCGTGCGGGTCAGGCACCGCAGGGCTCTGGGGACGCGTCCCCCTGTGCGGGGCTCCGCTCTTTCTCTGAGTCCTCCCCAGTGAGGGGGATTTGGCAGAAGCAGCTAGGCCCTCGGGGACCAGGAGCAGCCCCGGCTGTGCTCAGGGTGCTCGGGGGGTAGGCTGGAGCCCGTACTTTGGGGGGAGGACGCAGCGCTGGGGCCACACGTGCTGTGGGGTCCTGGCGTGCAACGAGCACATGGCCCCCGCGTGCGGCCCTCCCCAGCCCCACTGTAGGGTCTTTGTGCCTTTCTCAGGATACGGCGCCTCCTTGGCGAGACGGGCGTCTGAGGCTCCAGGGCGGGAAGGGGAAAACCAAACAGAGCTGGCAGCCCCCGGCCAGCCCCGCGGCCCCCGAGACGGCGGCTTGGCAGCCAGCGGCCACATGGAGGCCCTGGCGGGGCTCCTGGACGGGGGTGCTTCCTTTGAGGTTGCCTGGGGAATGTTTGAGGTTGGAACTCATGGCAAACGCTGGCTCGGGGTAGCCGGGAGCTGCTGGCCCAGAACCACGGGACGTGCCAGGACAGCACGTGCGCACCCTGCCCACGCTGACCCCGCGGCCGCCCCCCACTCCTCCGGGCCCCGGGGTGCTCGCCTCGGTGTGGCCCCAGGTGGCGTGGGGTGCCCTGTGCCCGTTTGCTGGCTCTCTGCGGGCGTGTGTCCCAGAGCTGAGAGGCCGGCTCTCTATGCCTTCTTCATCTGGGGCGCCCAAACCCCACACCTGAGCCTCCGGGAGCCTGCAGCCCACTCTGCCTCACGCGTCTGAACACTGACGCCCTGGTGCTGGCTCCAGAGCTCCATGTCCTTCTCCTGGGAGTCCCGGTGCTGTTGGCGAGCCCAGTTTCTGGGGGACGTGGACCTCACACCGTGGCAGATCTCGGTCAGTTAGGTCCCATTTGCCTGGAAGTCGGCACGTGTCTTCCTCACTGTGTGGCTGCGTGTGGACCCGTGTCAGAAAACTGGGGTTCCCCGTAACCCGGGCGTCAGGGCCCTCCTGGGCCCGCTTGTGCCCCTCCCCAAGGACGGCCCCTCCCAAGGGCTTCTGGGACCACGGTGCCTGGTTCCTCCACAGCTCTGGGTGGGCCCCTTCACCTGTTCTCAGGCTCTCTGTTTGTTGGGGGCACCCTTGGCATTGGGGCGAGTACTGAGGGACATGGCTGCCCCATGGAGCATCAGGCAGCCTTCTCCCCTCTCACCCGAGGTCCGGATACCAGGACTCTCCGGCCTGCAGTCATCAGGTGCCTGGATAGCCCATACCCCCTCGTTGGCCCCTCGGGTGC